GTGTTAAAATTTATTTTTAAAAATTTACAAAACTAAACAGCTTACAGTATTTTTACAGTCTTTGTTTTACAGTTAGAATACATGTTTATCAAATAAAGTCCAATGTTACAACTAATTGTGGATCCCTTTAAAGTGTGATGAATGTAAAACACCAGTCACATAAGGTCCAACCTTTGTGACTCCATAAACTTATTTATTTATGAAAGGTGTCTGAGCTGCAGCACTCCAAAGAAAGCTGAGTTTTCTCACTCGTTTCAGCAGAATATTTATAAGAATATAATAATATAATCTTTTCCATTTTTTTCCAATTTTATCGGACTGGCACAATTCACTCCCACTAAAAGTCCTTCCTGATCAAGCTTGATCAATTTTTTTSCTCGTGGTTTTTTCAAACTTACCGGAAGCAATTGTGACAGAAAAGGAAGAATATCAGATTTGTCTGAACTTTTGCATTGACTCACTAATTCCAGCGAAATGACTGTTTGAAGCTAAATTGTTATTTTGTTCTAAAACCTGAATAAAGTCTGAGAGTGAAACACTCACCATATATAACCAACAGAACTTTGTCTCCATCAGCTCACCTCAGTTTTTTCTTTGAGTTTGATGACAGTGTGGGAGGTCTGGAGCATGCTCAGTAAAGCCCTCTTAATATTGAGAGCCCACACCTGCTCCCCCTCCTGGAGGCAGAGGGCCGTGACCTTTCCCCCCTGGAGGGAGAACTTGAGGCGCGTTCTCTCCAGCGACTCCCTGGGAAACAAAAACACCAGATGAGCCTCCTCCTCCTCCTCCTCAGACCGGAGAACAAACAGAGGAGCATCTGAACTGAGTTTCTCATTGCAGGAACAAATAATACCCCACTTTGATGAAGGGYTGCACTTTATATGCAAAGTATAGAGCTTCAAAGCAAAATATGAAAAGTTAAAAAGTAAAATAAAAATCAGACGAGAGATCCTGAGGGTGTTACCTCAAACGTTTTAAATGCAGGACAGAGTGTTCCCTCTGAGGGGAGAGACGCTTTATCTGTGAATTCCTTATCTGTTGGACAAGCAGGCACATGAAACCACAATGTGATATGCTTCTTATAGACAAGCTCAGTTTTCAGTGAGGCTGACCTGCATCGTTAGGTGGCACTTGGAGACAACATCAACATCCACCACACAGTCCAGAGCCAGACCGCTCCGGCCCCCGTTGGAGCCCCCGAGGCTGGTGGTGATGGCTGTGCTGTACCTGTAAGTGTACCTCACACCTTCCTGATAGGACAGGCCGGCAGAAGAAAGCCCTGCAGACACAGAATGGTCATATTCAAATCTGAAAACCTGCTCAGGGTAATAAAAACATATTTGTGTTTTAATGCTCTGTGCAGCAGAGTGAGTTCTCACCAGAACAACTTGGATCACAGAGGTCTGGTTCCACCACAGAGCAATCTCCTGCTGCACACACAAAAACAGGTATATGCACATGAATTCGTTCAAGTTTGAAAACGTCTACTTCTCAACATGAATTAATCTTACCATGCTGCAGGAGAAAAATTAAAAGAACATGTTCCCAACTGAGAAGTACCAGCGACCCAGCCATGACGAKCTCGAGGACCGGCCAAGGTGAAAGYCGAGCTCTGTTCACCGCAGCTGAATGAGCGGGCTTGTATCTGGACTTCCACAGTGACCCATACTGCTCACAGCAACCAATCAGGACATACCCTCCACACTAAAGCTACAAACACCCTGAGCCAATCAGTTGATGCTGCGTTGGGTCACATTAACACCTGGTTCAGCCCAGGACTAACATGAGATATGGGCTGCAGACAGAATACTTCATTGCTTTATACAGAAATAGACTTTCTATTTTGATTAAAAGTGATGAATTGAAAATAATAAGAAGAGATTTTTTAATGTGGGAAAACTGACACATTGCAGCTGTTAACTAAAGCAGTTAAATCAGGAATTGTAAATATAAAAGTTCAAGTTCAAGTTTATTTATATAGCGCCAAGTCACAACTTACGTTGTCTCAGGGCACTGTACATAAAAAGAATATTCTAAAGAAGAAACCAGCAGGCTGCAATCAATCACTTCATCACAGTCTCCCATCCTGAGCAAACGGTGGAGAGGAAAAACTCCCC